CGCAGGCCGTGCACCCTGACCAGGCTTCCAGCCGTGCCCCGCCAGCCCCGTGGCAGACAGGGTACCCCGCTTCGGCCATTGGCACTCTCACAGGATTTTCCTAGAGAAAAACCAACCCTATTCATCATCTATACTGTCAGGAAGGGGCTTTGCATGCAGGCTCCTTGCTGCTTGTGGGTAAAGGCCAGCCCAGGCAGGGGGTGCAGCTGCCGGGGCCCAACGCCGCGGGGATTCGACAGCTCTGACCCAGCACGTCCCTTCTCCTCCCAACCACCCCAAGACCCTCTGCCTCCTCCAAAACATCCGCTTGGGATGGACAGAACAGGTTAAACTATTTAAACCTGGCAGGCAGTCCAGGCAGGAGGCCCAGATTTTCCATGGCACCCACCAGACCCCGCAGCCGGGCTGTTCCCGGCCTCAGCCCCGTCCCCAGCGACCCTCAGCGCATTCCGCTGGGTCATGGCTGCCTCCAGGTCCTGCCCCGTGCACAGTCAGCCCGGAGCTGGCGGCAAAGGCTCTGCGCACCCACACGACCACGTCCCTGCCAGCTGCCCCGGCACCCTGCGGGGCACAGCCCCCTCCCTCCTGGTGTGCGGACACCCTGCACGATCCGCATCTGCTCTGCCGGGAGTGTCTGCCATGGCACCGGCACACGATGGCACCAAGGGCTTTGCTCTTGCTCGTTGTTGGAGAACGGCTTGCAGAGAGCAAGGCCATAGCTCCCTGCAGGAGCTGGTCGGCCATAGCTCCCTGCAGAAGTCGGTCACAGCCACCTGAGGTAAACAGAGGAAAAAACCCAGGGTACAGTTATACTAATAAGGAAGGAGATTCAGGGCTCAGCAGTGCTAGCAGAGACTGTTGTGAGAACAAGGAGATAAGTTGGGGCGCATTATGACCTTGGGGGTGAGAGTAAAACAGTCCTGAGAGGGAAACAGGTTCACATCAAGAAAGATGTTTATGCGTACCAGAAATGCCACAAGGGGCTGGGGTATTGTGTGACCTTTTAGATGTACCCAGTGGCTGAGATA